CTAAAACAGAAACTGAAAAAACTGACTTTGCGTGGTTTGATTTGGTATTTAGATTTAATAAACCGACATAATTGATTTAGATTTTTTTAATGAAAAACCAAACCAAACTGACATATGTACACCCCTAATTGGGTCAATTGATTTTGTAACACTTTATGAATTTACTTTTAATTTTATAATTTCTTTTATAGGAGTATTATTTTTATTTCCACACGTAAGATATCTAAAAATAAAACATGAAAGATCATTTCTTTATTCAAATTGTGAAAAGCTATACATTCACCAATTCTCTAGCTCTCTCGAGAGTTATATATATTACACTCACTATTAGAAATAGAGATTTTTTCATCGCGAGTTAATGATAAATTTTGCGTTATAAAATATAATTTTCTCACTCATTTCCATCGAACCAGCTCAGTGGAAAAAACACATGGTGGAAAACATACTCTCATTAAAATACTAAGATGCTTTCTATTTTTTTCATTGTTTTTTTTTTCCACTGATTCAACCAAATATCTATAAAAATAACCACATAATATTTTTCACTAAGAAAATAGTGATTTTTTAATAATAGTGAAAAATTATTAGTACCTCTTCAAGTGAAAGTGATACTTCATATTCCCCGTCCATATTCTTATTGTTTTTCCTTACCTTTTACAATTGAGCTTGAAGTATCAAATCTTACATTTGTGGGAATATTTGGAGTCCCCTGTTGCATTTTAACTAAGTATTTTTTTATCTTTTCTATATTCTTCTTCTTCTTTTCTTTAAAAATATATTTCTTCAAATCTATTAATTACAATTAATAGTTGTAATTAGGGGTGACCAATTCAGCCAAAACTCTATTTGATTCACCCAATCCATTCAGATATCATTACCAAATGAAATCAACTCTGTATCATTAAATTATCTATGCATGTAAACCTTGTAACTCAAAAAATTAAATCTGATATAATTACAACTAAATCAAATTGAAATTATAGTGTTAACTTAATGTTTGATAAAATATAACTTAGGAATATCTCTTAATTTATCGCTGATGTTTCATGCATACAAGTTACAACGGCATACAATTGTGTATATCACTATATATTGTGTGTATGCCATAGTATATTACTATATATCATATGTATATCACGTGTATATATTATGTAAACATAAAATACAGTGATATACAAGTTATATATGGAGAGAAGAAATATTGAAGCCATGGGAGAGAACTTCGAAGGACAAAAAACTATTAAGAAAAAAACAACCATATTCTTTTGACGTTTTCATCTTCATTTTTTTGCATTTCTTTTTCTTCTTGTTGTTACTGAATTAGTTGTGAAAATGTGTAGTTTTTTTAAATAATGATTTTTTTTATGACAAATCGTCAAAAGTTATTCAAACAATCTAAAATTGATATTAATTAACCATTCAGACAAATATTTTACACACTCGAAGAGATGTATTTAAACATTCTCGAGTTGCTTAGTTAAAACAATAAAAAATTATTTAAATATTTCTGGCACCACTAATTAGCCTGACTTTAGTCCAACTTGCCCCTTTCTTTCCCGATAGGAGATTTCTATTTTGATTTGTTTTCAATTTATAAGTATTTTCAAGAATAATACCTCCAAGATAGTTTTGTATCGGGTAATTTATAGAAATCTCACTAGTTTAGGAGATAATTATTTAAACATATGTTAGTTTCATAATACATGGATCTCGAGATACATATAGTCAAAATTAGGTATAATTTGTTCTAGATACACTATATCCAAGTCGATTCACATATATCTAGAATAAATAGACAAATCTCGCATGTCTCCCTTCACACCAGATACATATATATAGTGTGTGTATCTAGTGTAATTCACATGTATCTAGGATGCATAGAAAAATCTCACTTGTGTTTCTCCCATCTCATTCACCATTTTTATATCTCATTGTATACGTACATCAGATACATATATATCTTGTGTATCTAGTATAATTCACATGTATCTTACTTGAAATATAGTACAAAATTATTAAATAGTGAAATAAAATATAATTATTTCAAACTTTAGGAAAAATTTATGATAGAAATAGGGGATATTTGTGCAATTAAATAGCTTCTCTAGTTCGAGCTGTATTTAGCATTTTTAGAGACTCACAACTTAATGTAGTGATGTTTATAATTTTAGCCACAATTTTTAGTATTCGGTTACTGTTCAAACATAAGAATATTGCTAACAATGTTAGATGTCTGCTAGAATTTAGACGACTCAATTAATTAGTATATCAGTTAGTTAGAACTTCCACGCAACAATAAAAATAACTCTTAGCGGCAATAAATATATGCATTAACAAAGAGTATTAAAGTCTTTATTGAGATTAGTTAATTGTTATTGAGTCTAATGGCACTATAAGCTTTAGGAACATTTGATCTAATAATATGTACATTAACAAATTAAAGAGGGCTATTGCCTTTCTCGACATTAGTTAGTTTTCATTATATCTAGTGTTGTTATAAACTTTAGAAATATTTACAGAAAGTATTAATTGCATCTAATAAACATATTTAGCAACAATTAAACATTACTATTACTTAATTGTCATTAAAAATTATTTTTGATATAGTGTCACTTGACTTATCGTATAATGTGTTTTTTTGTTCTAGGTGTTGTTTACAATTGTTGAAGCCTTAAAAAATACATAACGAAGTCGTAAGCCCTATAAGTTTACACATTCAACAACAAAGGCACCAAGAAAACAACAACAACAAAGACATAGAAAAACAAAAAGAGAGAATATATAAAAATTCTTATAATCTATCCACATTTTTATAGTAATATTTATACTCAAGTTATAAGATGTTGTTATTATGATAAGGCCAAATGGTCGGGTGAACCCTTGTAATTGTGTCGAATTGTAAACTGGACCTTTCTACTTGTAACTTTATCAAGTGAACCCTTGAACTCAACAAAACACAGTATATTAAACCCTTTTTTCATTTGAGCACGGTGCGTGTAATACAACCAAATTACACTTGAAATCCATATCATTTTTAATGACACGTCAAGCATAAAAAGATAAATTATATTAAAAAGAAGTTATTCTTTTTCCTCTTTGAGGTCACCCAGCCGCCGCCCCTTACTCCAAATCCAAACCCACCTCCCACCCTTTTCCATCTTCCTTACCCAGGAACTCTGAAGCACAAAAATTCACCAGTAGTGATAGCTTGAGAATTGTTCCCATTTGACAAATTTCTAGAAAAGATAAATTCTCCTCTTCAACCCAAGCTACGAGTCTAATATCAAGTCAAATTTCTCAATTCTGTCCGTCAGTCCTTTGATTTGAGCTTTCAATTTTAGAGAGAAGTTTTCAATTTGAATCTTCAAATTAAAATCTCAAATCATGTAGCCCGTTTTTTATTTGAAGACAAATAAAACAGAACAAAGAATCATTCAAACAAAAAATGAATTTAAGCATTTGTTTCTTTTTTATTTCAGATAACCCATTTCTAATTTGAGCTTTCAATGAGAGTAATTGTCTTCTTCTTTTCAATTAGTATGTTTGTTGTGGGATGTTTGAAGGATGAGTACTTTCTTTCCAAATGGAGTGAGATTACAAAAAGAATTGGTGAAAATTATGAACGGTGGTGACCTAAATTTTTTTCTTCAGAATAAGAGAAGAGGAAGGGGATATTTTGTTTTTCCCTTTCCTATTATTTTTCTGATTATATGTATAATTTTATTGAGAAGTATCCATTCACGCTCTTAACCCGCGTGTACCTCACACATTTTTCCAACTCAGCAATTTATTGTCACATAAGTTTGGTCAATGGTCAAAAGTATTTAAAATATTGTGTTTCATTGAGTTTATTTAAGTACTTACTTGATAAAGTCATAAGTAAAAGGGTTCAGTTTACAATCTGATACAAGTACAAGGGTCTACCAGACCATTTGGCCTTATAATAACATGTAAAAAGGACTTCACCCTCCTATTAATTTGTTTATTTATGAACTAAAAATTAGCCAAGAAAATATCAACAATATGGGCACGTTCCCTTTATTTTGTCGTACGTATAACTAATTAATTTTGGTTCTTTCTTTCTTTATTCTCTACTCATTCAATCTCTTGACTTCTTTTTTGTTTTTCTTCAAGTAGTACACCTTTTGCTCACCAAAGTAAATCCATTTGAAAAATCGTAAAATAACAATAAAAAATTAATAAAAATTAAATCAATTGCAAATTACCATATTTATTGAGTAAATGGTAAGTAATATTTAGTCCCTCGGGGAAATAATAATAATTTTGGACCTTTAAATATTGATAAATTCTTACTGTGGTTCTTTTGATGTATATACATTCCATTTAACAGATTTTAATTCCTTTTATATAGAAAGTATATTATGTTTGAATTAGTTTTGAAGTTATATTACCGTCAAATATATAAAGTAATAACTAATAACACAAATTTATCATAATATATGAATAATTAAGCAGTCAAATAGTTATTAACCATCTAAAAATTGTGAATATTAGTGATTCATTACTAAAAAGATAAAAAATCCACATTTCAATTAATTAAGGCACTAAAAAGTACAATTTTTTTCATCTCATAATAAGTATCACTTTAATTCATTTCACGCTCATTAGGAAAAATAATAAACATAAAATATAGTTTACTAAGTCAATTCTATTACCTTTTTTTTCTTTCTCAATGTTAATTACTTATTCTCTAAATTATATTTTCAAAATTTAATACTATACATCTATTCTTATGAGGTATTACTATAAAATACTTATATTAATTATTTTTTACGTATAAGATCGAATAAGTAAAAATGAACAGACGAAGATAATAATGAAGGCGTGGCCAATTAATTACATTAACTTCGGCTTCTTCGCCGGGTGTAGAATAGATGTTTAGGGCAAGATGGTAATTTTGAAAGTAAACGAAATCAACAAAAGATGAGTATCGAAAACAGAATAAGCCAAATTCCAGCACTATAATTTGGGAAGACGAAAGAGCAAGAAAACCAAGAGAGAAGAGTCCCCGTTGCCTCTCTCAGTCTCCTTATGCCTTACTATTTCTACTAGGTATCTTCTCTTTCTTTTCTCTTCAATTCATTCTGTAATCTCTCTATTTTCGATTTCTGATTCCTGTTTTTGTGGTCAAAAAGATTGAACTTTTACCTGTTCTTGATACTGTTGTTTGTTGTTCAGAATTGTTTAGACTAATCAAAGCTTTTTGGGTTTTGATCAGTGGATTGAAATATTGTTTTGACTCACTCAAAGATGATGGGTTTAGGGTCTTTCGGTACTGGGGGTTCGTCATCATCCTTCTCCAATTTATCACCTTTAGCTCCACCTTTTACTGTTGATCGGTCCAATTCCAAACCCGGTTCAACCCAATTGTTGAATTTCAGTGATTCATCTTATACTGGTACAGTACCATTTGGACAGTCATGGCAGTATGCTGCTGCTGACCCATCACCCACTGGATACAATTTTTTCCCTTCAGTTACTGATTCTGTGCCCACAACTTGTAATATGCCTTTATCACCTGAGTTTTCCCCTGCTGATTCAGTTGAACCCGGTAGTCACTTTTGGTCAACTTCAAACCCAACTGTTCATGCTTCGACTGACACGTATTCGTTTGGCCGTGAGGGATATTATGCCCCTTATGTGCCTTCCATAGTGAGCAATGAACACCCATCGGCGGCGGCGTTCAATGAACCTTCGCTTGATGTTTTGCCTAATTCTGGTAGTATTCATGTTGATGCATCCTCGCAAGTTGATTATACCCAGAGCTTGTCTGGTTTGGAATACCCGCATTGGAGTTTTTTTAGTAAAGTGGCTGATGGGAAGCAAGATGAGAGGAATGGAGTTAATGGAAGTTTTTCCTTGGGGAATGTTAATGCTGGTGCTTCATATGGTTACAGGAATTGCATGTCTCAAGGTAATTTCCTTTTGTTCTTATCTGTAGGTAGCCTCATTGTTCCAATTGCAATGTATTCCTCATACGATTGAACATTGATGTGAATGTATATCTTCTCGCATTTTTCAGCTTTAGAATTTCAGCATTCTTATTGTTCATATATGTTCCATACCATGATTTGTTTTGAATATATTACTAAGCTGTACAGGTCTTTGGTTTATCTGTGTCAATTTGCTTTCTGAGTGTATCTAACTTTTGTTTTCATTTAGGATGTCAAATTTGACTTGTATGGGTTTAACCATTCAATGTCTTATGCTTGTTGTTGGTAATAATCTTTTAATTGCTTTTCACTACCGAAGTACTGTTGTAGTTTATTTTTCTTCCAAAAAAAGAAAGAAATCTAATTCTGTTGATGAGTATTATTATACTATTCCTGACCTGAAAATTTTCCTCGATTACCAAATCCATTTCAACTTCTTATGTCAATGACAAATTATTCATATCACGGAGTTAAAGTCTTTTACTTCTACGTGTCTGATTCATGCGATTTTATCTCTATGTGTGGTGAGGGTTGCTTTATGCGTGTAACTAGTTCAAACTTGGAGCTTAAACGAAGTATCTGTCATTTTTCTAATTGTCTAAACTTGTTACAATAACGCAATCAGATTGAGGCTTTTGATGTCTGTCATTTTGTAGGTAATTCACTTGAAGGTGTGAACATAGCTAGAGAAGATTCTGGTGCTGGAAATTTTATTGATGGAGTATATACTGGGCCTTCAAGTATGGGACATATGGATGCCAAATCATATCTCACTCAAGAACCAATCTACCAGTCTCTTAACTCAGAAACAGCTATGGGTTCAATTCTCCCCGTGTCTTGCCAAGTGGGTCTTTCTTTAGGGTCTTCTAATAATTACTTGAACTATGAAAACCCTTTTACTCCACATGAGAGATTCTTCCAACCCCTTGATTCTTGTCCCCGTGATACTACATCCACATCAAAATCTTCTCCTGTAGTGGTTATCAGACCAGCACCTTCTGGAAGTCGTTTCTTCGCACCAAAGATAGACTTGCACAAAGATGTGGATATTTGCAAAACTGGAGCTACAAACAGTGAGAAATCAGATGTCTGTGATCTGTTAAAGAGTCAGGAAACTCGGCTACCAATAGATTCTCCGATTAAAGAGTTTTCCTTGGGCTCAAGCACACCGCCGGACTTTGACAAGATCAAAAACATTTTTTTTGCATCGTCGTCAGTTAACAATCTGTGCTCGACCCGTCCTTGTAGCAGCAATAGCATAGAGATTGCAGTTAAAGAAAGATCTGGATCTCAAGCTCCTTGCGCTAGTGCACCACCTGTGACTTTTGCTGAGAAATGTTCAGATGCTCTAGATCTTCATAACCCAAATGTAGATTCACCCTGCTGGAAAGGTGCTCCTGCTTTTCGTATTTCTCTCGGCGACTCTGTTGAAGCTCCAATCCCGTGCCTCTTCACAAGCAAAGTAGAATTCGCTGATTTTAGTCAAAGCAATCCTTTATTTCCTCCAGCAGAATATTCAGGGAAAACTTCCTTAAAGAAACTTGGCGAGGAAAATCTGCATAACCATAATGTATATGCTGGAAATGGTCTGTCTGTTCCTTCGGTAGGCACTGGTACTAATAACTACACCACAAAAGAACTCAGGACCATTGATGTCACAAAAGAAACATTTGTGCCTATGGATCTGTCCAGCAATGGTGGGATACCTAAATTTTCTGAAGATCTGAATAAGCCTAGCAAAGGATATAGTCTACCTCAGTACTCTGAAAATGATTGTCAACTACAATATTCCTGGGGCAAGCACCTTAGTGTTGATGATCACCAATATGGACCCAAAAAGCATAATTTGCCTGAAGGTTATATGCATACTGGTTTGAACCTCAATGACACATTAGAGGGTGGAGTAGTTGCACTAGATGCTGCAGAAAATGTTTTACGTTCACCAGCTTCTCAAGAAGATGCCAAGCAGGCCCAACCATATCAAATGGGATCAAGTCCAAAGCTGGATGTTCAAACACTTGTGCATGCAATTCATAACCTTTCGGAACTACTTAAATCTCAATGCTTGGCTAATGCATGTCTACTGGAGGTTCAAGACTATGACACCCTTAAGAGTGCAATTACCAATCTGGGTGCATGTACTGCTAAGAAGATTGAAACAAAAGATACAATGGTTTCCCAGCATGACACTTTCGAAAAGTTCGAAGAATCTCACCGCTCTTTTATGGTATGTTTTTAGGAGAGAGCAAACTAGTTAATTTTGTTTTTTAGGTATGGCCAATGTGTTCAAATTGTGGAAGCAGTTGCAGTATTACCATTACCAGTGTGGAATTAAATCCCTCCTTCCAGACCTTAATACTAGAATGGGATATCGTATGTCCATGAAGTATTTGTTTAAATAAGAGAACCTCAATCATTAGGGTACCCTTTTGACTATTAACTGGGTCAGTCCGTTTTTTGTCTGACCTTTGAATACTTTTATCATGCATTTCTGTTTCGTATGCAAGAGTATGAATCTAAGTTTTAGTATGTCATTTTTCTTATCGAATTTACAGGATTTGTGTCAGCTTTCTGACTTTTGATTGTTGTGCATCTTTGGCCTTTGACTGGGTCAGTCCTGTTTATCTTATTGAACTTTGGGTATTTTCATTATGTGCCCTTCTGTTTTATGTGCGAATGATTGGTTCGAAGTTTTAAGTTCTTTATTTGTGCATCGACTTGACAGGCCATGTTTGTTAGCATAATTTTGTAGATAACTGTAATTTTCTCCTCCAGGGCACTGAGACAGGCCACCCTCAGTTTATGGAAGAAGTTGCTTGGGATTCTTGTGGCCTCGATAATCAGCCCACGCCTGAAGATAAGAGCAAGAACAATGGTAAGAAAACTGAGAATTCACCCCTTCTAACTCCTGCAGATGACTTGGGGGATTCAAATGAAGAACAAGTGGTCCAGGTATGCTCTATGTGTAAGTTGTGAAATTATCATTTAAATTTTGGTCTTGTAAATTCAATGTTGAAAATGAGACTTTGAAGGAGTTCCAACCATCCAGAGTTCTATGTTATTGGCCTACTAATATGGCAGGCTTGCAGGCTATAAAGAAAGTCCTCAATGAGAACTTTCTCTCTGATGAAGGAATGCATCCCCAAGCCCTTCTTTTCAAGAATTTATGGCTTGAAGCTGAAGCAAAGTTATGTTCTTTAAGCTATAAATCTCGTTTTGACCGTATGAAGATTGAAATGGAGAAGCATAGATTCAGCCAAGGTAAAGTTAAAAGCTGTTTATTTTGGTATCTGTGCTGTGATTCTGTCGCAGTTGTGGTCTTTATTCTGTTTCAGACATTTCAGTAGATGTGGCTGTTGCCAATAAGATTTTGTACTTCAAATTTTCTCCAGACTTAAACCTGAATTCCTCAGTGGCACCTGAAGCTGAAAATGACTCAGCGTCAAAGATTACCACTCAGAGTACCTCTACTTCAAGCAAAAGTGTCCACATTGACGATTCTGTAATGGAGAGATTCAATATTTTAAATAGAAGGGAAGAGAAGCTGAGTTCATCATTCATGAAAGAGGAAAATGATTCTGTTAAGGTTGGCAGTGATTCTGAGGATTCTGTCACAATGAGACTAAATATCCTAAGGAAACAGGGAAACAACTTCAGTTCATCATTCATGCAAGAGAAAAAAGCTTCTGATATAGTTTCCAGTGACACTGAGGATTCTGTTATGGAAAGATTCAACATCTTAAGACGACGGGAAGACAACTTGAAATCATCTTTCATGGGAGAGAAAAAGGATCAGGATGTGGTTGCCAATGATGCTGAGGATTCTGTTAAGGTGAGACTCAACATCTTAAGACAGCGGGAAGACAACTTGAATTCATCTTTCATGGAGGAGACAAAGGATCCAGATATGGTCACTAATGATGCTGAGGATTCTGTTATGGCAAGATTCAATGTATTAACACGCCGGGGAGAGAACCTGAATTCACCGTTTATGGAGGTTAAAAAAGATCTGGACATGGTTGCTGCTGGTTCTGCTGATATGGAGAATCATGGATTGATAAATGGAGAAGTATCAGGCGATCAGAGGGCAAATGTGGTCATAGAACCTTACTTTTATCATCACAGTATTAATTCCAGTGAAGGATATAACTCCTTTGGGTCTTACGCTGATGGTTCTGGATATGACTCCATGAAACAGTTTCTTCTCTCTGTCGCGGATGATCCAATTGTCCATTCAAATAGGAAGGCCAGACTGGGAAATCACCACTCATCAGGTTTGTATGATAATTCTTCATCAGATTGGGAGCATGTTGCCAAGGATGAGTATGTTTGACATCTGATGATATTTTGATGTTACTCTTTCCAGTCGACATATGAATACACTGTATATGTTGTAGAGTAGACGGAACACTACGTATTCCTATTCTCTGCTTGCTGATACTGCAATATCATTACTCGGTTGTGCTCATCGTTTTATTTCTTGCTTACCTGTGCAGTCATTACTATAGTACTTAAATTCTGCTCCCACTTGAGGAAAACATATGCAGAAAACACCCACTTAAGTTCAGGATCCTATATGCATGATTCATCTTTTTGTTTGTTTATTACACCTCTTTTGTCTAACATATGAAATTGATTTCAAATAATTTGCACAAAGTATTTTATTTAGAGGGCAAATATTTTTTATGTAGGAAAATTATATTTTACCTGTTTTGCTTACCTGCAACCTTATAAATACTACCAAACCAGTTGTCATGATTATATATTTATAAGCTGGGAAATAATTATTTGTGATTGAACAGCAATATATACATTAGTTTTTCTTTTATGGAACTATAATAGGGGGAGTTAACATACAAAGATTAAATAATATGCATAATACAACATATAATAAGCTGGATGTATTTTGTTCCGTATAAGTGTCTGATTACTTGTATGTGTTAATTACTATGCAATATATATAATTTTTGTTTATGACTTGATAAGGACACCTCACATAATGTGCAAGCTGGATCCTAATTGAATTAAATTACTAGCTTATTATTTACACGATAGAAACTACCGCGGATTTGAATTTATTTTTAATCCATTGCTAATTTGTAGTTAAATGAGATGAGTATGAGATTATTGTTATTTAACTACGAAATTGTGTCAGTCGCTAATTCTTTATTTTCTGGTAGTATAATTAGATGCATGTGATATTACCTTGTTTAAAATATTATTTCAACCATCAAATGCCGACATTTTACTCCAATAAATCTGCAAAATCTCAAGTCACGGGTCCAAGATATCATATTCATTCTTTGATTTAAGTTATATATATCATATATGCATGAACGGTGTAGTGAATTTTCTTTTATTCTAGCAATGAATATTAACTTGTGAATTGTGATAGTAAGTAAGATTATTATTTTTATCAAATTATCAACTAATGTTTATAAAATAAAATCGTGTAAATATATTTTTTACAATGCATCAAAGTCATACTCTTCTTTGTAAAACCCTCCGATTCATTTTTTTAAAAACTGGCGGCAAGTCTTTTGTAGTTAACGTAACTCAATGATTATATATTTGATTAAAGAAATATAATTAGAACTAATAGAAAATAAAAAGACCCACTTGCAAGCATAATCCACTACAATTAGCATAAATCTAGGGTTAAATCAATGTCTAACTACTACACTTTGTATTTTCATGCAAAAAAAGTCAACAAAATAGATTGGATGAGAAGTTTATTAAACCAAAAGAAAAAGAAAGACAGTAAAATGTATTTACGTGCAATTATAGTCAATCACTAACCAACTCCAGTTGTAACTAAACCTTCAAAAACATTGGGGCATCTTTGCTTACGTATATACTTCCTCCATCCACTTATACTCGTGCACTATATTAAAAATAAATGTTACTTGTCTAAATTAAAAAATCAAGAAATAATTTATCATTTACCATTTTATTAATATTCCCTCATTCTAGTTTAACTTGTCCACTATACTAAAAATAGTTGTTCATTAATACTTGTTCAGTTTATTTATTACTCTGAATGTGTCAAGTCAATACTGAACAAGTAAAAATAAATGGAAAAAGTACCTCTTGTGTGTGAGGTAAAACATGAATAAGTAAAAATGGACGGAGGAAGTATAAGTTACAGTTTATTGCCTTCCAACCATGCACTAAAATATTATAGATTAGCTATTGTATCAATACAAGTTAACATTGCATCCACTTGATATCCAGGGGCAGGCCCTATATATTGACATCTATTATTAATGATAAAGCTACTCAAGCTTTACCAAGAAAAATTAAGGGAAAATGAGTGCAAGAATATTGATTAGTGCACTAATATTCTTGGTTTTATGTGAGTGTATGATGTTAGAAGCACAACTTCAAGTGGGATTTTATGATAATTCATGTAGTATGGCTGAGTTCATTGTGAGACAAGAGGTTGCAAATGCCTTCTTTATAAATAAGGGAGTGGCTGCTGGCCTTGTCCGCATGCATTTCCATGATTGTTTCGTTAGAGTAAGTCGCATCATTTTTGCATAATCTATGTATTTTATCTGTTGTAACGGCTAACCTTGTTGGCATTGTGGATAGGGTTGTGATGGATCAGTGCTGATCGACTCGACTCCAACAAACTCAGCTGAGAAGGACTCACCAGCAAATAACCCGAGCCTTAGAGGTTTCGAAGTCATTGATAGTGCAAAGGCCAGGTTGGAATCTGTTTGTCAAGGAGTCGTTTCCTGTGCTGATATAGTCGCTTTTGCTGCTAGGGATAGTGTAGCGATAGTAAGTATACTACAATTTGTGATGCAAATTAAGATTTATTACCATAGTACTAGCCTCTCTACCTTCACGAGGTAAAGATAAGGTCTACATACACTCTATACACTTATGGGATTTCATGGAGTATGTTGTTATATTACTTACTTGCACACTTGAAATTACTGTAGACTGGAGGATTTGGCTATGAAGTTCCAGCTGGTAGAAGAGATGGCAGAATCTCACTAGCTTCTGAAACAAGAAGTTTGCCCTCTCCTATATTGAATGTTGACCAGCTCACCCAAAACTTCAAAAATATGGGACTCACCCAAGAAGAAATGGTTACTCTCTCTGGTAAGCAACAGTGTAGCACTTCGTTTTCAGTTCTATGCACTGACATGTTACTGAGTCTTTGATCTCTGATGTCTAGGAGCTCACACCATTGGTCGATCTCATTGCCTGGCCTTCAGTAACAGACTATACAGCTTCAACTCAACAACAAGCCAGGATCCCAGTCTTGATCCTTCCTATGCAGCCCAGTTGAAACAGCAATGTCCAGAAGGCAGCACGGATGCAAGTTTGGTGGTGCCAATGAACCCTGTAAGCCCAGCTATCACTGATGAATGTTACTACACCGATATTCTGGCCAACAGGGGCTTGTTTACATCCGATCAAACTCTTCTCACAAATCCAACTACAGCTATCCAAGTAATACAAAATGCTAGGTATCCATTCCTCTGGAAAAGTAAATTTGCTAGTGCAATGGTTAAAATGGGCCAAATTGGTGTCTTGACAGGCACAGCTGGAGAGATCCGAGCTAACTGTAGAGTCATCAATAGCTGAACAAAAATGTCATATATATCTCTGTATTCAAATAGAGGATTGCTCCTTTCAAGCTGGAACTTTCCACACTATCTTCTTCAACCAGTTAGTACTGGGAAATCGACTATGTATTGCTCTGCTGCCCTTTTATTATGTCCTTTATCACTGTCAGAAAATTGAATTTGCAAATACCTTCAATCATTGGATCTTAAGCTATTGTGCTGTTCAGGCAAAATGGAATTGCCAGATATCATGCTCAATATAAATTCAAAAACAATCAACATAATAAAGAAAGCCCTTCATTTCTTGATATTGGTCATTGAGGTTCTACAATGCACTACTACTCAATAGTGGTTCACCAATTAACAAGGGCAACAAAAATAGAATGAAAGCATAACTTCTTCCAAAATTCATCATAGAGCACGAATTGAAAGGTGAAACTTTAAAGAAAAAAAAAAACTTAAGTGGTCAGCTCCATGATTGCACTGACTATGTCTCCATTGTGGGTCTTCAGAGCCTTGACTGCCTTCCCCCTAGACACTCCTGCTTGTGTCGAGACCAATTCAATGTCCCGAGGTTCAACACCAGTCTCATCGACCTCTTCTTCCTCATCTGCCTCTGCAGCAGCATTAGAGCCAGACACATCTGGCTTAGCCATAACAGATCCCATGTCTGGCATCCTAAACTGCTGAGCTGCTTGTGTCTGCAACTGAGAGCTCAAATCCTCAATCTTAGCCTCTCCAAATATGACATAAGTCTCAGAATTTGGGCTTTTGAAGACATCTGGCTTTGAGATGAAGAATAAAACCTGCAGTATTGTGATTCAAAATGGTTCGCATAAATCCTTATTCTTTTTTAAAAATATAAAATTCAATGAAGAATGATCAAGGTAATTTACATTTTTGGTCCTCTTAATAGTGACCCTGCTAACCCCTGTAACAGGTTTCATGCCAAGCTTCAACATGGCTTTCCTACTCTTCTTCTCACTTCTGCTTTGCTTAGAATTGCCACCTGCATCATTTTCCACACATATTCTTCTAAGAATTATATTGCCAAGAATAATACAGTGTGGCATGTTATCTCACCCGCCATACAACCATGTAAGGAAGTTAAACAGATCATGTAGAATTTTGTGCAAAAGCAAAACAAAATGGATCATCAAAACAAGCACAAAGAGATAAGTAGCAAGTCCAAAAACATCAATACTGGTCAGAACTGCACACCAGGAAATTTATTGCATGCAATAGCTAATAAGCTACACCAAACCAAAAGGCATAACATAATTTCATGCAATACTCAAAATCCTGGCAATCCATCCAATAACTACTCAGAGAGAAATGGATTAGCATAACATCATCCAATGTCAAAAACCTGGCAATCCAATAACATTTATTACGAATTACAAAAATGATGTCCAACAAGCTTTTGAAAACAGTCGCATTAAGCATTTAACTTATTACTATAAAAACAAACCCCAAATAGTTTCAATGCATTGAATTATCCACAAAGAGTTCAACTTGCAGGGAATTTTTAAGATAAACAAATTAAAACGCAACAAGTATTACAAGTTACAAAAATGATGAATAAAATCAATCACACGATTTAATCATTCCATAATTAGAAATGCACACTCGAACAAGTCAGTAAACTGTATTGGAATCCTTTTCTCCTTCTAACAAGCTTTTGAAAACAGTGGCTTTAAGCATTTAACTCATTACTACTAACCAAACAAACCCAAATAGTTTGAAAGCGTCATACTATCCACAAATGATTCAAATTGCAGGGAATCTTAAGCAATGCATAAGAAAAATAGCTCATCCAATCAAATAACCTTCAAAACGTCTTCTAAAAGGAATGCCGTCGAAATAGAATTCACTCACAAACCATATAAAAATCAGCACAGTTATAGGAAAGGCAACAAATGAATAAAAAGGGAATAGGGGAAGGCAAATAATACCTTGGGCACCATCCTCCTTGTCATCATCTTCGTCGTCTTCAGAATCGTCGGCGTCATCATCGTGGTCGTCTTCCTCTTTCACGTCCTCCACGATGGGCTCATCCTCCTGAATCTTCTTCTCGGCTTCGAGTTCTTCGATGACGGGACCTGGCATGGCTACTTGTGTGTGATGGAACCGCAGGGATTTTCGGTGCTTTGAGGATAAAATTCGTAAGCAGGAAGGAGTGAAACAAATGGTGAGGTTTTATCCTAGGGTTCCTCTGTAATGGGCTTCCGTAATTTAAGCCCAATACCATCATCAGCCCACTTATACCTTGTCTTTCATATCTTCCAATAATATTGCATAAGAGAATGATTATTATGAAATTCAACTCCCTTCTTTTAATCTTTAGGATAAAAAAACAAAAATATTTGTCAAGACGAAAATGTTTCAAGGACTGTGAATTAAATTAATTTTCTTTTTATTTTTGTAGTAACGATGTTAAAGTCAGATCTTTTTAAGCTCACTGAAATTCTACCATGACCATTATAATTTGAATAAAAATAATAATATTGCGAAGATTTCTTATATTTTATTCATCAATTTCATGTGTTGTCTTTAATCGATATAATGTGACAAATATAAGTCGCTCGTTCTTGGACGATTTGATACAGTTGTTTCTTTTTAGATATTTCAAGTTCTATATTTTCAATATTATGTTTCATAAAATGATATACTAGTACCATACCTAACTAAATTCAGTATGATTCACGATTCTGATTTATTCTGTTCTGTAAATTGGTTTCTTTCGGCTTGGATGTAAATAAACAATTTTAAGAGGTACATTTTTTTGGACAAAATAATAAATCTAATCATTTTCGTCTATTAGAAAGGACACTATGATTAATGATCTTGGATGAATTAATGAATTAGACTACCATCACTTCTGAATAAAATAAATATAGATAGAAAATTGAAAATGTCGATTTCTCATTTCAAAAACCTAACAAAGGTGGGAAAGCCGAAAAATAAGTAGACAAGAAGAAAACTCCTATTTCGAAGTAGTCTAGGGATTTAAGTTATTCACTTAACACTACCATATAATTGTATAAAGCTGGTAAATGGACGGATTGGAAGGATTAAAATGGTTTGAAATAGCCCTACTTGGGCTGTTTTCATTTAACAAAACCTGGAAATACTTGATTCAAGATAAAATTCGTTCTTGAGAAAGAACGGTGACTCATAGAAACCCAAGAAATTTATTAGTATTTCCTACAATTACTCTATCAAAAAAGAACTATAGCAACAAAAGAAATGCACAAAAGTAAATTTATTACAGCCAAACCAAAAATAAAAGCAGCAAGAAAAATGAGGATTCGGGCTCTTTCTCTTTCTTTTTGGTGCAAAAGGATACTTAACATTGAACACTTAACTGTTCGTTTGCCTCCAAAAAATATTCAAAACATACAAAAGGGACTAACAAAAGGTTTACTATACAGTAGTAGTAGACGACTTAATAACTATTGACATCATGCTTCGTAGTCCCAATTTTTCCAGTAAGTCAGCATGGCTATTTTTGCTAGAAGAAGGGTTAGTCAATCAAATACAATTATCCACAAAAAATTAATTCCCTCACCCCACCACACAACCAATGCACGCAAAATAAAAATAAGTAGGGTGAAGAGAACTTCCACTAGGCAGCTGAATCTGGCATATGTGTGTCTCCAGCCTCAATAGGCGAGATAGGAACAGCAGCAGCAGCAGGTACAAGAAAAGCAGGAACCCTTTCAGGGCTACAACCAGTATTAGCAGAAGGAGCATCAACAGCAGGTGCAGGTGCAGGTGCATGTGAAGAGGAGGCGGAATCAGGCTTAGATGCTACACTGTCCACCGTGGTAGATGCGGGGGTTGGGCCAGGCTCATAGGACACGGATGGACCAGCTAAATGTTGGGCTAGAATTTCTGAAACCTTATCAGGTAGAGCTTCTAGCGTTAGCAACATCTGCTTGAAATTATCTTCCATAGTCATTCTAATATCAGCAAGGTCCCTTACAATATTTGCCAACATCATCCTAATTTCAGCCAATTGCTCCCTATTCCGGTCTGCAATTGCGAAATGCATGCTCGTGGTCAGTTAATTGAAATGCAAGTTCATCTATTTCTCATTCTAAAAAACTTTCAAAACAGAGGCGCACTGAGCATTTAAATTGTTAAAACTACCAAAACAGAACAACAAATAGTTTCTATTAGGGCAGAACTTTCAAGGAATTAACAAGCGTGTAGCAGCAAAATAACTCATGCAACCAAAAACTTCAAGTCTTCAAATACCACATGATCTCTCTAAGCTAGTGTTTGACCATAAATTTTGAGAGTAGTTTCTGAAATTATCTTCAAAATATCTGTTTGACCATGAAATTTGATCTGAAATGTGACAGTTTTTGTAACTTCCCCTCACAAACTTCAATTTTTTTCCAAGTATAATGCATGTCCAAAAACAACTTCAAAAACTCATATCTTCACATTTCAACTTCAAAATCTAAATCCAAATCGAGCTAAAAGGAATGCCGTCGGAATAGATATTTCACGAAATGAGAGGTTTACCAACAGACCATATTTAAACCAGCATACATACTTAGGACAGTTCAAAATTTGAATAACAAAAAGCAGAATGAAGCTCTAAAAGGGATAAGGGAAGACAACGAGTACCTTCGGCGTCATCTTCCTTGCCATCGTCATCGTCAGAATCCTCGGCGTCATCACTTTCGTCGGAATCATCCATATCATCGTCGACTTCCACGATCCAGTCATCATCCTGAAGCTTCTTCTCGTTTTCGACGATAACACCTGGCATCGCTGCTTCTGAATGCGGGGAAGGGGAAGGGGTTTTCACTTTTTACAGTGTTTTGTGATTAAAAATTTGTACGCCGGAAGATATTTACTTTACCAAATGGTGGGTTTATTACCTTATGGTTCCTCCCTTTGGACTTGTCAACTATAGCCCAATTTCATCGGCCCAACTAATACATTGCTTCTTCTCTTTAATAAAATAATTGCATCACAAAATGAATTCTGAATCTAAATACGAATATGAGTGCAGTATTGCATTTATGATCAAATCTAAAAATTTTACCGTGACAGTAACTTCGTGAGCAAAAGAATATCATGTACATTATAAATAAAAATGTAAAAAAAAGTATTTGACAAGAGAGAGTTGCTCGGACGGTAAACATCCTTCACTTTCAACCCTAAGATTGTGAGTTCGTCTAGCATAACATTTTTTTATGAGCTTCATTAAGGAAAATGATCTTTTCACACTTAAAAGCAAACAACATGTAAAATCAATGTAAGTTTCACAAGTAAAACAAGTCATCAAGTTTGATCCAGATTTGTTTTTTTCCATCGTAGCAGCAATATCCTTAATTCCCTTTTGAGAAATTTGCTATCACACTCTCGAGCATAGACAATGAAATCATCAAGCTGGTAATTGAAATCTCGAAGTTGGTTATCACCAAACTTATTATTGTAATATTCGGTCAACTTCATAATTCTGTTCTCATCAAAACTAGCAAATGAATAAATCGGATTCAAATTAGTCCTACCAAGGATTAAGTCGCTAGTTACTATATCAAAGTGATAATTAATCTTCTAGAGTTGCAAATTTATAACTGTATAAATACTTTCACACAAAAGTGATGTAAATATGAAACTTCGGACCTCCTACCACTTTGACCATGGATAGTCTTCATCCATTTTGGAATCAAATCATTAAGTTTGCCACAAAATGAATAACCAGATCCAACATCCACTTCCATCGAGCTTTTAGGAGTTCAAATGATGTTCTTTATAAATAATTTTAAAAAAGTTAGGGGTAGGGGAAGGAAATGGAGAGGGGATTATAATGTGGGAAACAAACCCTCAACAGTAAGATGAGAGTTCAAGTAGCCAACTAATTGAGCTATAAAGCTTCCCCGGAGTTTAAATAATGTTCACTCGTAGATATAACAAGAACACAAGAAGCAAAAATCAATATGTACTCGCAAAGACAGAAGATTTATCTGCAACACTGTAACTTGTAACACAAAGAAATTAAGGGAGTTGGCTTCAAACAGAACAGCAAGAAGGGCTGTTGAAATCATTTTCCACTGAAGTTGAAGCATTAACTGGTGACTTCACTTCAACCGCTAATATACTAGAAGGAACAAGTTCATCCCACATTTTTGCATACCTTAAGCAAAATATCTACAAAAATCTAGCATAATTTTGAGACACACTTGAATACAGACCTCATATCCAACTTAGTATCCCAGATCATAACTAGGTACGTAACCATACTGCAGCTAACGGGCAGATCGAGCCATCACTGCACAAAATTTACAAGTCTAGAGAAGTTGCAATGTTGTGAATACATTTTCTTCAATTACTTTTTCGGAGCGTTCCTCAGAGCCTTCCAAGCCTCATTATTCATGGCATGGCAATGGGCTGAATTCCCAGTCCAGGATTTGCAAGGAGCAGCCACATCACAGACATAGCAATAACACTGCACCAAATCCAAAGGCACACAAGATGATTAATTTATGACTACAACAACAACTATTTAAGACAAAGCTATGAAGCATTAGAATGTATTATATACGTAAAGCTAGAGTAATAATAAAAGGAATGCATTACAACAGGTTAGCTCATCGAAGTTCCAATTTAGAACTGTCCCATTCTTGGATCTAATAATGGATTGCATAAATATTTTTTTCTTTTCAAACAAGTCCAATTATTGAACATATAAATAGTCAGACATCAACAGAACACAGGTTAGCTCTCACTTTGACCAGAAAGTTTTCATGACAATACTAAATCTATAAAGCTAGAGACAATCCAGAGAAATCAGTACCACAAACTTGTCTTACAAAAAGCATTGTATATTCTGCCAATATAGTTTTCCAATGAATAACTGGCATCGCTCATCTCACAACTTAAATTACTAGAAAGAAACAGTGTTCCCTATTCGGTAATTCAGGAATATCTTCTATATACCCGCCAGATGTTTCTTACCTAATTCTTTTAAATAGAAGAAGCTAAAAAGAGTAAAGTAATAACAGAAGCTTACTACTAAAATACTGAAGCAAGAACATTATACTAGAATTGGATGCACAAGTTTCCTCTTATCCAAGGCACACAAGATGATAAATTTAATACTACAACAACTATCTGTCAAACCCAATCTAATTGAATCCTAAAATGATTAATCTAATGACATAAAAATTCACATAATTAATAAAATGAAACAAATATTACCATTTCACAGTGGTCCTGGTGAGGTGTCTTCTCAAAAGGATGTTTCGCGCAGTCATGCCTTGGATGTGGAAAGTCTCGACATGCCACCTTTTCACCATCAAGATCAATAATCATTTCAGTCATGGAATCCCATTAAGAATAAAAGGACTATTCAAGGCCAAAAAATTCTATACAGCGGCACATAATAAAAATGGTATCCAAATGATGGTTGGAAATAAGGAAAATGAGGAACCCCCTATTGGAAAAAACTAGTAAATTAACTATACCTAGCCCTTTTCAGCAATACAAGCAGAATCAAGAAATACATACGTAAAATGGCAAGTACACAGAGATAAGGAATCGCCACGGACACGGAGGAAAAGCAAAAGATAATAATCCATCCTTTTAATTGTTTCATGGGATGAAAAATTAAGGAACATCATCCACGATCAATCCAATACTCGGTAGGTTGTGCCCCAAATACGTAGCAAGAAAAAACTCAACTGGACAGACTACTGAAATGAGACTAATGAGAATGCTGTTCAAGTTGTGACATTTTAAGAACTAATTCACCGACTAATTAAGTCCGCGTTTGTACCGATTCACCCCCAATTCTGCAGGAGATTATCAATCTCATTTCATGCTAAGGGAATGTAGTGTTCAATTTAGAGGTAAATAGTTCATTTTGTCATCAAATCACCTTTAAATGTAAGTGCTGCTACATTGCATAAATGAGATAAGACTAAATTAAGAGAGATTCAAATAAAGACATTCTAATCAATTCATTAAGATATCAAGAAAAAGTAAGAAAATACAACCAGCATTCCCCAAGCCCTAATAGAGAAATCCCAATTCCATCAATTTAAGTCGAAATTGAAGGCAAATAATGGTTAAAACAAGAAAACAAAAGAACCCTAGATATTAAATGTACCTCTCCTTTTTCGGCGAGAACAGAAAGGTCAGAAGCATCAAGATTTTGGGAAACAGATAACTTTGAGATATCTACGGATTCATAAGGATCAAAATCGAGGATAAAGCACTCTTCTTTCTCTTCAAATTCTTTCAATTGCTCTCTCTTTTTGAGGCAGAATACAGGTCTCAATGGAGTTCCTTCATCGATTGGTGAAGTAGATAAATCTACTACCAATGGAGTAACACAATCCGGCCTTTCAAGCTTCTTCACCATTTTTGCGGAAAAAAGTGAACGTTAATGGAAATAAAATTTGGATTGCGATGGTAGCAGGAGAAGTGAACGTTTCTCCCAAAATTCGAATTTCTTTTGGGGAAGAGGAGTAGCCGTATAAACCTTTTAATTCCCCCCCACACACAATGGGCCGTAGAAGGCTTTTCTTCCCCCAAAAGAGGCCTTTCTTAGAGGACCAAATGGGCTTAAACGTTAGGCGGGGGGGGGGGGGGGGGGGGGGGGGGCATTTGGGCCTGGTTTCAACATTGGGGAATTTCCTTTTTCAAAAAATCGAAACTATTTAATTACACAAATATTTCTATCATATTTACTAATTCTCCCTATAGTTTGAAATGATTATACTTTATCTCACTATATAATAACTCCCTATAGATACATATATGAATCACACTAGATACACACTATATACATATTTCAGGATTCTGGAATACCAAATACACAAGCGAGATATGAGAGTGGTGAGCGAGATAAGAGTGAGGCGAGCGAGATTAGTCTATGTATACATGCAAATCCACTTGAAAAAAGGGGTTTGGTGAGTAAGAAGTTGCTCACATTGGGGAGGTATGTCAAAAGGATTTGACGTATAACTCAGAGGGTAAACTATATATTTTGCGTATAAGATATAATTACGGTGAATTTTGATCACATACATATGTTGTTAAGCATCGATATTTTCATAAAATTTAATGGATTAATTCTTTGTTTTTTAGGGTAAAGAATACTTAATGGATATTGATATGTATCTTATGTATTTTTTAAAATTTATTCTCTATATATACCTGTCACGCCCCGAGCCTACACCTAGACGTGGCCGACACTCGAGAACCATTGGTGACCCCAAGCGAATCCTTGGCCTTGCTCAACTCTTAGCGAAAGACTCACTCAATAATAACAGAACTTTTAAAAGTAAACTATAACTCAAAAGTCTCAAATGATAAACTCAAAAATGTTTAAAGAAACATTCAACTGGCCAAAAGAGGCAACTCAAGTCTCAACATGAACAACTGAAAATGAAAAGACTCATGAACTAGTGTTTATCTATCTATGAAGCCTTTAATACTAAGAGGAATGTCGGGATAAGACCCACGATCATCCTAACAAACTGAAATACTAGAAAAATATAAAAAAGGGATCCTCCGGAAGCAAAGAGGCTCACCAAACAAATTTGGAACTCGATTGGATCAACAAAGTGCTGGTTGATGATCCTGGTCACTCGTATCTGCATCATAAAAGATGCAGGCCAAATGGCGTCAGTACATGGAATATACGATCATGAGACAAGAAATCTAAACAAGACATTAGCTTGAATTGGAACTGAAGAAACAACTTACCTCGTCTCAACTCTACTCAAGAATACTCAACTCATTTCAATATAAAGCATTAGTAAAGATGCATTATAAAGAAAAGCTTTTTAAATAGTAGACAATAACTCAATGTATTAGAAAATACAATATAACTCATTTTGTATGCAAAAATACAAGTAACTCTGTGGGAGATTCTCTAACCAACAATCATCACTATGAGTTATGTGATGGTACAACGTTTAGCCCACGATGTTAGAACTGTCATATACTTTGCTGGGGTATAGGACCTACTAACTAAGTGGATCAACTAGTCTATGCTTAAAAGCAATAAAGAATCATCTAAAAAGTATGACCCTTTCCATCCACGTTGGCTACATGGTTTATGAGAATTTAGAGTTATCTGAACTCGTCCTCGTATCAGTGTTCAATATTACTCCCAAAATATAACTAGCTCATATGTTTAAAAACATAACTCTTTCTCTGGTTTGAGATTATTATGCAAAAAAATTTCTCATAAAAGAGATGGAGCTCAAAATTGCTCAAAAACTCTTTTGAAAAACAGTGTTTCCTCTTATCTTAAATGTGAAAACATTACTCTTGAAAATACTTAGCTCTCATATATCATTTTAAAGTAAATGAACTCAAGTTTACTCTTTCTCAAACTCAAGTGCTCAAGTCTTAAAACAAGTGTAAAATGATTGAAAAAGACTTATCATAATAACTCTAATGAACTCTCAAAACGTGACTTTTAACTCTACCTTGAATATGAATTATGAATTCAAGGTTATAATTCATGTTATGAACAATATTTCGATGTTTAGATGTAGTTTAGAGTGATTAGAATCAGTAAGAAGCAAATGTATACTTAAAAGAGACTTAAACGGAGCAAGCGACAGAAAAATGATGGGGGCTTGAGACCCTGGCACACTGTTGGTGCGTGCACCAACCCCTAGACTTCAGGGACCACTTTTTGGCGCACTGCTGGCCCGCCACGCCTAACCTCCTGGCGCATCTGGGGCGCGCCGCGCCACCCTTCCCCAGAACAGTCCGACGAATTTTTCTACTCATTTTCTAATCCTAAATCACTTTTAATCGATTGATTTCCTCAAGTTTTCCTTATGTTCAATTACCCAATACAAGTACACAAGAATCTACTCAAAAACAACTCTTAAACTTGATACACTTATCTCAAGAACTCATCAAACCCATCTTAATTCAAGAACGAAAACAATACTTCAAGAATACTTATCAAGAACTCATATCCTTCAACTTTTGAGAATGAAATTTGCATTAAAATAGCATGATTTGCGTGTGGGTGAACGAAGCCAACACTATGAGAACTCACATACCTCTTAGGATCGAATCCTTGGCGAAAACCCTTCGAAAATCTCTCGAATCTTGATGAACGCTTTGAATTTTTCTCCTTTTCTCATCTTCTCGAACTCCTCTCAAAACCCTAAGCGTGTTTTGATTATGCAAACTAACCCAAATCAGATTTGACCCCAAAAATAATACTAATTTCGAATTAATCTGATTGGGTACGAAAAAGACCAAAATACCCCTCACTAATTCGGGTAACTTTCTTTAACTGGACAGGCAGATTTCAAATGGTCATATCTCCCTCATACGAGCTCAAAATTTAGCAAACTTGGTGGCGTTGGAAAGAGGATTTCAAGACCTTTCATTTGATATATTATGGGCCACCTAACTCATCATGTACGGAAAGTTATGATCGTTTGAAGTTGACCCAAAACTCATAACTTAACATTACTTGCAAAATTTCAAATTTTTGGCTCTTTCCAAGTTTGGTGCTTTCTAAATCTAGATTGTTCTAACACCGGGTGGTACAATACCGGGAATTGTTTTTTAATAAACACGTACACAGTTGCATTATACCGTTATTATATAGTATATTCCATCATTATACTATACATTTTTATATGTTATGCTATTAAAGTATGCAATATACCATAGCTATCACAGGAAGTCATGTTATTAAGAGAGAAAATAGCAACGGTTTTGGGTGGGAATTGAAAACTTAAGCGTGCTTTTAGGAATAATAGGATATGAGTGTTACTTATGGGTGCTAATTTTGACTAATTAAGTAATCAGTACTGCTATAAATTATGTTAAATCTTGAATCTAGAATGAAGTCCCAATATGGCTTGAATTTTCTATTTAAGATTTGAAGAAAGGTAGATCACAAAACTTTTATTAATTGATCTTTCAGGGCAAGGAGGAACTTATAAATTTGACTAGTATAGTTAGATTACTCTTTATCAATAATTTTTTATAAGGATATTTTATTATAACAATTGATTTTTTTATTTTTTTGGGAATCATTTTTTATGTTATGCTATGACTTATGCATAATAATACTTAGACTATAACAATAAAAAAAATCAAGATTATTTTCTACGTACAAGTTAAATCAAAGTAGTTAACACAATTATGTCTTTAGTTGGATAATTAGTCATTGTGGACCAATTGAAAAATCTCCATTTTCCAGTAACTATCTTGACTTGGGTTTGCTTAATTCCTGACTTTTTTGGTAAAAAATGATCTTTTAAATCCTCACTCAATTATCATATTTTACTATAAACGAAGAAAGGTAAGAAGTAGAAGAAATTAGCTAGAGAAAAACAGACGTCGTTGTCATTTATACCTTCTTGGGCCCAAGGTGGGTGGGCCGTGGGAGGGAGCAAGTTTGGGATCTTGATTGCTTCTTTATCAGGGATGGCAATGAGGCAGTGCGGGGTGGGGTGGGTTGAGTTTAACCCTTAAAATTTTTAATTCACCTCGTCTTGCATAACAATTTTTTTCATTTTCAATCCGCCCCGCATAACTTTTTAAATATTTTCTTTTTTCTAGTGAAATGTGATACTAAATTATTATTTTTATTAAGTTGTATTAATAGGATAGTCACTTAAAAATTTATTTTTTAGAGGTCAATTGGGAAACATTAGGAGTGTCAAAAATGAACTCAAACATAGGTAACCCGCCCAGAATTTTAAGGGTTTGGCTCAAGATAATTTGAATTGGGTTCAATCTCAACTCATTCAAGTCTAACCAATTTTAAGAGAACCCTCAATTGAGCCCAATTCAATCTCCAATTTCAACCCGTTTTAAAACTCTTTACTAATATATGTTACTATATTAAAGGTATGAATTATTATTTATTTAACATCTTTTAGGATTTATCTATCCATTTGTTACTTTTAAAAAAAATAAAATCTTGAGTTGAAATTCGAATTGTGATTATAAAAGTTAAATATTACTATGTTAAAATTATTGAGATTAATCGAGTCAAATTGGGTGGGTCAAGACCCAACCCGTTTTTTAGCCCATTTGAACACAACCTATTTGAGCCCAAAGTAAACTTGGGTGGGTCAAGACCCAACCCATTTTTTAGCCCATTTGAACCCAACCCATTTGAGCCCAAAGTAAACTTGGGTGGGTCAAGACCCAACCCGATTTCTATTTCAACCCATTTTAATATCTCCAATTTCAACCCAACCCTCCCATTTGACACCCCTAGGAAACATGTAAAAAATTGTATTATTTTTTATTGAATCATTTTCATTTACTATCTTGAATATTTTAGTAGTTTTATAGAAATTATCTTAATAAATAATGTTCTATCACCCTTATAGCATGTAAAAAGTTAAAATTAAGTTTGAACCCACATAAAATCACATATACCCGCAACCCATCTTGTCTCGCATTCATTTTAAAAAAAAAAAAACCCCACTTCAACCCGCCCCCGCATCCTACCGCCCCACATAGTCTTAGACTCACCCCGCTCCATTGTCATCTGTATTCTTTATTCTATAGTCATAATAATGAAACAATAGCTCACCTCAATTTTATCTTGTCCTTCTGTTCAATAATAATTGTTCACTATTGATTTGAGAAGAAATAATAAATAATAGGGGTAATATTACTATATTATCCTTAGACTTTATTAAATTAATGTTTTGAAAAATGTGTTAGCTGATAAATAGTATTTAATAGCAAGGGTAAAATAAATATAAAAGGTAAATTATCTCTTAATTTTTTAAATTGAACAAATATTGTTGGATAACTATTTCTAATATAGTGGACAACTATTGTTAGACGGAGAGTAATTTTTTTGTTTCTAGCCTTTGACATTTTTGTTGTTCAGTTTGATTCGATTTAATTTATTTTATAAAACTCTTTTATTGAGAGGTGAAGTGGTGACAGATCCCTGTCCCCAAATTTTTAATTTAAAATAGGATTGGTAAATAGGAATATATATCACGAAGTAGGAGGTTCTAATGCTCATGTTATGTTAAGTATTTTTTTTTTCTTATTCTATACCCTTCGTATAAAATAATATTAAAACTTAAAAAGAATACACTTCTATTAAATTAATCATGCCGTCTGCAATGCCCTTTTACGAGGATCTAATCTTTTCGGAAAATAAACTTGGAATATTGATAATGAATGTTGTGTGACAAAACACTGTCTTGAAAGCAATTTGATTTAATAGGGATGTAAATTATTGTAGTCCGTGTTTTTTACAGTTTTATAATTATTTTTAAATATGTGCGCTCGTGACTAAAAGTTTAGAGTTTATCTAAAATAATTATCTAGAAAATAACTTAAGAAAAATAGAGAAGTAAATTAGGAAGGACCATTTCCAGAGTGACCTAAGGTTGTATCGTAATCGGGTATCGACATTTCCTCGGGGAAGGCTATCTTACAACTGAAAGCCCTCATAATGACTCTCTTGAAATTTAACAATCAATCTCGAGTCTTTCACCAATTTCCCTCCAATTAGTTGCAAGTGAAGTGTTAGAGTGTAAATAACTTTTTCAGTGCAAGGCGTGTAGAGTTAAAGTGTAGGCATATGTTACTAAAAAGCCTTTTCAATATTAAACGTGTAACCGTTTAACATTAAAATGTTGATTTAACTTTTGTATCCTATATAGAGTTTTGTTAAAGGACTAAAAATCTATTAAAATGCGATTGGAATGGTGAATGAGTAAGGTGAATTGAGTGGTGCGCTGTGGGGTCAAATTGGAATGGTGAATGAGTAAGGGCTCACTTCATTTGTACGTCAGATTGGTATCTAAACTCACAACTATAGAGAGGATGACTAATTCTTAGTGGTGCGCTGTGGGGTCAAATTGTAGGCCAGCATCTCCACCAAATTTGGGTTGGTGAACAAAATATAACCATATAAAATGCCACACACATTCCTCTCATTCTGCACATCACCCAAAATATCTCTTTGTTTTCTTCTACTTGCTCAATTCAATTATCTTTAAAAAAATTGAAAAATGGGTTCAACAAGCCATAGCCAGAGCAACAGCCTAACTCAAACAGAGGATGAAGCTTTCTTATTCGCTATGCAATTGGCCAGTGCCTCTGTACTACCCATGGTCCTAAAATCAGCTGTAGAACTTGACCTTCTTGAAATTATGGCTAAGGCTGGTCCAGGTGCATCAATTTCGCCTTCTGAGTTAGCAGCTCAACTCCCTTCGAAGAACCCAGATGCACCGGTAATGCTCGATCGAATGCTTAGGCTCCTTGCTACTTACTCTGTTCTCAATTGTACACTCAGGACACTCCCTGATGGACGTGTAGAGCGGCTGTATAGTCTTGCTCCAGTTTGTAAGTTCTTGACTAAGAATGCGGATGGTGTTTCTGTTGCCCCACTTTTGCTCATGAATCAAGATAAAGTACTTATGGAGAGCTGGTAAATTCCCTTAATTCTGCCTTTTTGTGATTCATTTGTTCTGGTTTACAATTACTCAATTCCTTTAGTTATAATGTAGTTGCGGTATCCTGATATTGTTCATTTTGAATCAAATTGGCATAGTTTTCTTAAAAGATTAAAATATTCTTACAACTTATAACTAACTTATTTTTGTCATAAGTATTAAAAACACATCTAAACTTGACGTGAATTATTATTTTAGTCGACCCAACACCCTAACCTCACACCTCACTACCCATCCAACTCCCAAAAAAAACTCTTTTAAACTTTTTTTTGGCAGATAGTGGAGGAGGTAGGGGCCAGGGTGTGGGATAAGAAAAAAATATATTTTATTTTAAAAGTTTTTTTTTGGGGGTGTGGGGAAGGGGAAGGGGACTCAGTGGTGTTGGATAAGGGGAAAAAATGATGTTTTTAAAAAAATCTTCTAAATTTTAGCATTTAATTTATTTGTATGTTCTTTTTTTACTATATATATATCTACGTGTACGCCATATTAGCAGAAAATTTTACATATACGCATAGTGGACGACATGTGGCATAAGAGGGCGTTTTTAAATTGCTTAACCAAGTAAAGAAGTGTATTTAAGACTGTCAATAATTAGAGGACTAAACTAATAATTTACGTCATTATGGGTGTTTTCAATACTTCTCTTTATTTTTCTTTTCAACTTTCAATGTGAATTTAGTTCCCACACACACCTAACAGTTGCAAATTAATTATTATTTTGTTTCAGTGTTTTTCTAGTCTTTTTTGCAACAGAGATGTTTTTCCCTTTTTAATTTTAGTTTTTTATATCTTATTTAAAATATATTTTGATACATTCAACCTATTTTTAGTTTGAAATAAAAAAGTTCAAAACAAAATCTACTTTTGAAACTTCGCATAAAGTTAAAAACGAGACAATCAAAAGTACTACAAATCATATTATCATTTTCTCTTTTTCGTTCTGGTTACGCCATATTTTCTAGATCACTAGAAAAAAAAATGAATTTAAACTGTGGTTTGTCCCTTAGCTAAACCTTTTAGATGTGAATTAAAGTAGGTTTTGAATCTTTATCATGTTGACACCTATGACCAACCCCGCGTGTAATTCAACATATTGATTCTATTCTGCCCATTGAAAAAACGACAGACAATTGATGACAAGTAGTATTACCTACTACTATAAATTTTCCTTTTTATATGTGTGGAAACTGGAAAAGAAGGTATCGTGATGTTGAGAGAGAACTTTCATTGAATTGGGTTTCTCTTGTGATAAGATGGGCCACCAAACATAGAAAAAAGAAATCATATGGAAGCACCTGATTTGCAACAAATTTTAAAGTGATAAAAAATAAATTGCAATCACAATAAAATAAATTATCGAAAGATTTTTCTTTGAACTGTTTGAAAGTTATCCAACTTGAGGTATGAGAGTATGAATGGTTTCTTTTTCCTTTTAAGGAAGAACGAAGAAAAAAAGACTTAGATCTTTAATTGCTTTGATAATAAGAAAAAAACATAACTTTATTGATAAATATTGCGGGTATAATTTTGTTCCTCCTTGATATTACCAGTATAAGTTTTATCCATGATTCAAGGGTCGTTAGTGACATATTTCTCGAATTAGGATGATTTAGTTTTGACCTCTATATGAATATTTCATCAATTTACGGAATATTTGAGATGCCGTTTAAGCGAATTTAGTACCCTTTATATAGGCATGAACTAGGGTGGATTGAGTAGCTTTCAAGAATTCTAATTGAAACTGAACACATCTTTTAGAGTCCCACAAAATTTCAATGTCTACACACCTATCTTTGTTTTAAAAGTAGTCACAGTATGAAGTAATGGAAACAATGATTGAGAACCAGAAATTAAGTCACTGACTACAACCGTTAGTCTTCGAGTTGAATTTCAGGTATGGTCCCTGAACTTTATTAGCATATGAGTTGTGCTGCGATGGTTGGAGCCGACCCGCAATGTGTTAATTGGATTAATCAATGAGTATTTGAATAGAATTTATTTACTTGTATTGCAGGTACCACTTAAAAGATGCAGTACTTGATGGTGGAATCCCATTCAACAAGGCGTATGGAATGACAGCATTCGAGTACCATGGAACAGATCCAAGATTCAATAAGGTTTTCAACCGTGGAATGTCTGATCACACCACCTTGTCCATCAAGAAGATTCTGGAAGACTATAAAGGATTTGAAGGACTCAACTCCATTGTTGATGTTGGTGGTGGAACAGGGGCTACTGTGAGCATGATTGTCTCTAAGTATCCCTCCATTAAGGGCATTAACTTTGATTTGCCACATGTTATTGAAGATGCTCCACCCTACCCAGGTAACTTAAGCTAATTAATATATGGTCTAAAATCAAGTTATGATTAGTTGTTTGTTTCCACATTTATCATTAGATATTAATGTGGTGCATCACGGTAGGAAATATGTCTTATTCTTCACCTACAATTGATAATAGCGACATCAATGTTCTTTTTTCTTGTTTGTAATCGCTTTCGTAAATTTTATCCAGGCGTCGAACACATTGGTGGTGATATGTTTGTTAGTGTGCCGAAAGCGGATGCCATTTTCATGAAGGTAATGAATACATTGAAGTTTGAACGCTTTACTTTTGAAAAAATTGAAGATGTAAAAGAGAGAGAGGATAATATTGAATATATGACTATTACAGTGGATTTGTCATGATTGGAGCGATGAACATTGCTTAAAGTTCTTGAAGAAATGCTACGAAGCACTTCCTGCAAATGGGAAAGTGATAATTGCGGAATGCTTACTTCCAGAGGTCCCAGACACATCAACTTCCACAAAGAATACAGTACATATTGATGTAATAATGTTAGCACATAATCCAGGAGGCAAAGAAAGGACTGAGAAAGAATTTGAGGCTTTGGCTAAAGGCGCTGGATTTAATGGATTCAGCAAGGCTTGTTGTGCTTACAACACTTGGGTTATGGAATTCAGCAAGTGATCAACTAATTCAATTCCATTGAAGGATTTCAAACCAAAAAATAATTGTTCTCAGAGAAAGGGATGTGTTTAATATGAAGCTTTTTGGCTGGATTTTGAACTTGTATGTACTATTTCTGTAATACATATGTATTGAAGGAATGCCAATTTCAATCATATATTCTATTGAACTATATGGCCATCATAAATATTTTAAATATATGTCATATGTAGAATAAATCAAAATATCATTTAATAATGTGATTTTAAACATGTCATGTGAAAATCAAAACTAAAGAACTGCCCAAAAAAATAATAATTTAACACAAACAAATTGAAGCGAAAAAAGAGTAGAAATTATCACCTAAAGTCTTTGGCAATGGCTCATGTACTTTGAAGATGCATGGGCTTCGCAGTTTTTCATCGGATAGTCCAACTTGCTCATTTCTAGGCCATGGCACATGTAATTGTGGGCTGTGACACAGCTTTGCCAATTGCAAATATGTTACTGAATAGTATTTGTTTTGTTAATTTGGTACTCTAGATAATATGGCCTTTTAACAGCAAAATACTAGTATTGTTTATGGCTTTGTTGTTTCAAGTTAGTTTCTCACAACGGCATTGTTTGTTGTTTCATAGCTGCAGAGGGGATCAAGAATTTCTAGAACATAAGTGCACCACTAAAAAAACAGAAGAAAAAATGTATTAAGTGGAATATGATCCCAAGCAATCAAATATAAATAATTGTAACATATAATCAAGTGCACTATTTAGTCTTCTTGTAGCATGAGTGCCAACAGATAATCTTATACCAATTTTAGAGAGAATTCAACACCTACATTGTGAATATGGCCTCACAAAACAAAGGTGAGTAAACATGACACCACATTGCTCCAATCCGTTGAAGAATTAACGAACATCGATGTTTTATTATTATCATAGTATTTAATAACTCATAGGTAATACACGCAAACTTCCACAGAAGTAAAATCAGTGAAGCAAATACAGTAAACAATGAAATTACTACTACAACTTATTATTCCAACAAGATTTTGTAGTCCATTTCTACGGGACAATTGCTAATACTACTCGACAGTAACATAAAATTGGAGTAGTCATGTAATTGGGTAAATCAGCAAGGCAATGAAGATATAATTGGTGTCTTCATTTTTCTTTTTTCAGACTAGTTTAACTCACACCCCATAACTATTACTCGAATCTACAATAAAAAGGTACTGAAAATGCTGGCAACTCGGCAAAAAGACAAATTAAAATGGTGGGTTTTAAAAATAGGTAGTACTACTTATGATTCGGGGTCATTTGGTTTGCTGACTAAATGATGCCCAAGTCTGATTGGATCGGAGAAGACGGGATATCAAGGATTAAGTTTGAAATTAAATTTATATTTTGTTTGATTGAAAGTATAGATTTATCTCACACTCAACCAAACAAAATATAAATTTAATTCTAAACTTAATTCCAGGAGATCCCACCTTATCCCATATTTTAATTCTTGAAAAGTTCCAAACAATGTTCCTGGTCCAAATTCCTGCTCCAGAACTTCTTGTAATACTCAGCATACGTGAAGTCCTGATAAATGACTGGAGATCCATCTTCCGTCAGGAGTTTTGGAGCACTGATTTTCGCGCTATCGCACGGACATAGGAACGAAGCCACTGACATCCTAGCTTGATCTGAATTCACAATAGCTCGATGCCATACACTTTTGTACTTACCGTTACTTACTGCCTGCACAATCACCATTGTATTAGATTCAAATTTAACTTATTTTGCAATCGCACTTTAATAAAAAAAAAGTGACCCTAGTAGTTATGTTTTAGGTGAATGGTGGAATAAATAAATAATTCAACGAGTACCTAATACCTCCAATATTATTATAACTTATACCTCAAAACAAACAAACGACTCAAGGAGTTGTGGTTTACCTGCAATTGATCACCAAGATTAATGACAAAGGCATCTGGATGAGGTTTGACAGCCAACCATTTACCATCTTTAAGAACCTGAAGACCAGCAACTTGCAAGTCTTGAAGAAGAATTGTAAGTGAATTTGGATCAGTATGGGCCGGAAGCCCATAAGTGAGTTCTGGTTGTGGGCATGGAGGATAAAAATTGATAGCCATATGTTGGCCTTGTTCTCCCAATACATCTTTTATACACTCTTTCTCTAAGCCCAGGCTCTCTGCTATGGCTTCCTCCAATCTAAATCCGAGTTGTCGAACTTCCGTGCAATATCTGCTCACGATTTTCCTGTAACAACGACTATTTAGATTAATTCTTCTTCTTCAAATTGAAATAAATAGAATATTGATACATTACATCATTTTTTATTTTATATAAGAAAAAGTAGTGAGAATTCTATTATGTCACCCAATTTAGTAAGAGCCCTCTAAGCTATGTTTAATGTAGTGTTGGGCTCAGTTTACTTTAAAAGAATGACAAAGTCTCAACTATCAGACTAATATTCTACACAACTCTCAAGTCCAGACATAGGCATTATTATGTCCAAATTATATTAGGAAACTGGTTGAATGATTCAGTTTGATAATTATGCGATGGAATTAAGGGCACGACATAATTTAACAGTAAGACACAATATTCTCAAGTTCAAACTAAGAAAGGCGAATCAACTATAGTTATGATTTAAATACTTTAAAAATGCTATAAATGTTATAAACAACTACTTTAAAAGTGTCCATAAGGGTGTACCAAAGGGGCAAGTAATTTGGTACGCAGGATAAAGTAAATGTATTTCAGGATTAAGTTTGGGTTAAAAATTATATTTTACAGATTAAAGATATGAATGAATCCAGATTAAATTTATAATTTCAATCAATATAACAAAATTTAAAAACAACCTTAATCTCAAATAAAAATCTCATTCTAGTAGGTACTATTACCTTTTAAATAAAATAAATTAGTTCAAAGAAAATGATCTCAACATAATAATCTTGGTATAATATTATCTGTGAACCAACCAGATTTTGACCAATATTTATAATAATTGTCATTAAGATTTTCGAAGAATTAAATTATAATTATAAAATATTGAACTAATTTAATCTAGTTTAGCTTTAAAAATCAATAAAATTAACTTTCAACATCGAAACGTATTGAGATGGAAGAAGTATCTTTCTTTCCACGCTATTCAAAACTTTGACAAATAAATCCGAACAGAGAAAGGAAGTAACTTTCTTCCCCCGCTATTCAAAAGTCCATCAACTCTACCCCAAAAGAAACTTGGAAAAGAAATAATGTCGGCAAATCTTGAAGCTTTAACAGATACACAAAAATCAACACCACTTTAATTAACGCGTGAAACCAGCCGCAAATTAGCATACACAATTCACTTGCTTTTAATTAATTAATTAATGGAATATAAAACAGGATCAATTTTGATGGTGACCATAATGATGATCTGGGGTTGGCTTAATCACTAAGAAATGAATAAACATATTTTTGTGCTGTGTTGGCTTTCTAATCCAACACCCCCACTCATTTTTTATTATTTTAAAGTATAAAGTTTAATCAAATGCTCTATAATTGAACTAAAAACCCCATAATTCATTGGCTTACGTTATGCCATTTGAAATTTTGTTGCAAGTCACTTTCATTTGGTAAATTAATCCTTAAAAACGCGTTTTTTTAGCCATGAAACTCAACAAAATCAGCATATTCTTATTTTTTATGTTTCAGATTCTCATTGCTTACCCACCGTCATTTATTCTTTTGTTTAAAATAAGAAAACTAATTGTCATCATTACTCATTATTATAAAAACAGAAAAATTAAACATTTTATGTAATTGTTAATAGATACTCCAGAAAGAGAAAATTTATTTGCATAAGAAATATTGAATAGAACAAAATATCCTTTCAAGTCTATTATGGGTAAAAATAAAGATAAAATATAAAAAATAAAAGGAAAAATCATTTTTTCCAGAAAATTTGGCCATAATGATGTTTCTTTCACACTATGTTATTTTACCTTTATGAACATTTTTATCCTTTTAACTTTAATACTTTTTAATTAAAAAAAAAATCATTTATTTTAAAATAAAAAAGATATTATAGACTTTTAAATTTCTAATCAAATTTCCTAACCATTTAGCATTATAAACAAATTATAAGTTACTTATGGTCTCGAAACTTGATATTTTATCACAATGTATAGAAAATTTGCTGTACTATGGTGTTTTTCACCATTACGAGATTGTCAAAAGGGACTATTACTTTTTGGACACACAAATTGGAAAATTCAAGGGATGAGACAAATTCTTATGGGGTACATAAAACTATGAATATTATATTTAACTTGTTTATTTTATGTTACTTGTCCTTGTTCGGCAATTATAGCGCAACATGTTACACTAGTAAATTATGTTTACTAAATTAATTCGCTTCTGGACTATTCTCCACTTAAAAAAAGTGATCTAGAAATTTCAATAAAAAAAGACTTGTATATAATTTCTTTATTTTCGCATTATTAAGCACTCTTTTATTTACTTTTTGAGAAAGAGGTACATAGAATGTATAAAATACTTATACCCACATTCAACGGTCTAGATTCAAACCTTACAATAAAAAAAAATTGATGATAACATATGCTATATAACTTTATATTAGTCGAATCATTTTATTTTTTTTGAATATTAACACTTAGAAAGAAAAGTGCTGGGGAAATTGCACAACACGAACGAAAATGATGGGTCTGAAATGGTCAAAGGCAGTGTATGTATCACCTATTGAGTATTTTTATATTATTTTTTAAAATATTTATGGGTTGGGATGGATTAAATGAACGAATTTTTAAGGAAATTAGCTAATTAAAATTGGGATAAGTTCTTTGATTTTCGAGGTTACTATGTGTCTCTTTGTGATAATAAAAAGACAAATTCGTATCAAAATATAATTTATTTAATATATAATTGGATCGACAAAAAGTGACCGGGTGAATATTTTAAAGAGGCTAAAAGTACTTTTTTTGTGTAGGAAATAGAAACAGTAGAGCTTTGCTAAAACAAAAGGCACTACTTTTTCTAAATGTAACATTTTTCGACTTAACATAATATAGTAGTAAGATATAATAATTTTTTTAATTTGTGCTATAAAATAAAGTATTAAATAATTGTATAACTATATAATAAATAAAAATTAATTTTAAATTATTCTAATTAAAGTAAGATAAGAAAAGATTTCAATCGAACGAAGGAATCCGATTCTGAGTCGACACGAATCAGGAGTTAAGGCCACCCATCACCTATCACTTTTGTCGGCTTACGTCTCCATAGTGATGTCATCACTAGGGTGACACACTCATTGCATACGTGTCGATTCATGAAAAAATATAGCGACAATGATGGTGTCATCAAATTTGTCATCCATGACGTAATATTTAATTAGTTAATTATTAATCTATATGGTAGTACTACCTCTTGAGACAATATTTTATTTTATTTTTAAAAAAAAAATGATACTAACTACGACACGTTGAAATAGTCAAATGTGGCCTCACATGCTTGTTTCTGACATTTACCTTTTTTTCTTTCCAAAAATCAAAATTTTACATTTTTTTTCCTTATGGTGAATAATGGTTACTCTAATTTATGTGGCTATTACAGTTTTTGTTATCGGAAGTTGGGGAATAGCAACAAAATTATTGACTAGGTCAAGACTACATCTATGAAAAAATCAATTGTGATTCAATATTTGAACATACTAGAGGGAATATAGGTGACCAAAATCAAACTTAATACTCCATCTGTTTCATATTATCTGAATTTTTGGATTGTACAAAATAATTGAATTGTTCAAAAATCAAGATGGGGGTTTGATTTTTTTTTTCATATTTATCTTTTTCTTTAATGAAATTTCATATTTTCTAAGTGATAAATTGCACGGCTTGCAAAGTTATATTTATGATTTTACAAAAAAAAATAATAGTAAAAATATGATTTAAATTATGTCATTGAATATTTTTCTTAATAAATGGGTATTGCTTCACGAATTCAGTTAATATGAAATTGGGAGAGTAGATATTACTTTACGAATTCAGTTAATATGAAATTGGGAGAGTACTTCTTAAATACTCATTGAAATATGAAAAAAGAAGGAAAAAGAAAAGGTAACGGACTTAAAAATGGTTGGGACATTCAAAGTGAATATGCATTCTAGAAAAATCAAGATCAGTTTGTACATTATTGAAAGGTTAGCTAGGTAGATTAGGTAGTTTTAATTATCAAAGAATCATCTTCCTTCTTTTTCTTTTTATGAGTTGACCCTTTTTAGGATGAAATAATTTATTACTAGTCTCCCTAATCAATTACTATTTTTTTAATATTTTAAATAAGTAGTTCTTTAATTTTATAGTGAGGTTTTGTTTATAGATATTGTTTCTAAAAAGAAATTAATTTTACATTCTATAAGACTGACAAACACCTGACGCGCATCTGACACATGTCCAACTTTTTAAATATTCCTATTTATAAACAACTTAAATACGTAACAACATATGATACGATACACGCTGTTATTTGAGGTTACCATGCATAACTATACACACAAAGTGGTTGACGTATATAAAGATAATTAAAAGTAATGACTCGGATAGCAATGTATATTAAGATAATGAAAGTTAATTAATGGTGTTTACCTGAAAGACGATGGATTAGAAGGCCATTCAGGAGCATATTTCTCCAGAGGATAACAATGAAGTCTGAGATAATCTCTCCAATTATGAACCGTCTCCTTTTTAACATTAAAACTAGTAGATAATCTCATGGTCTTTGAAGGATCATCTGAATACAATTTTAGCTTCTCTTCTACTGGTAAATTGAAAAATTCCCCAGCTACCCTTAGCATTTGCTCTACAACTTCCTTTGGTACACCATGATTAATTACCTAAAATATAGTCATAAAGTCAATTAAATCTTTCCGTTATTAATCGAAAAAAATGATTATTAATTCATGAGTTTTAACGATAAGAACCTGAAAGAAACCATAAGTTTGACAAGCTTCTCCAATTAGACGGATTATTTGAGCTTGGTCTCCGCAACCTAAGTCAATTATTGGAACATTTTCACAATCCACCACTTCCGATAGACGTGGCCTGTCGGATTCGGGTCGGATGTAACTTTGAGGGAGAGTAGAGTGGTGGATTCCGCTCGAAATAACTTTCGTTTCCATGGAATCTATTGATATTAAATATATATGGCGTACCAAATAAATATAATTAAATTGGAAATTAAAAAAAGGACTTATAATTTGTGAATTACAAATGAAGAAGATTTATTCACAATATTCTTATTCATACTTCTGAGAAGGTTCATGTTTATATAGACAGGCTAGTTATCCCCATGTGTCATGTCACCGTACCTATTTAATATATTAGTATAATATCATTTGAATTTTCTCTAAGCTAAACAAAGACTCAAGATGAGCGTATATAAGTACTATACTGCTTCTTTTAAAACTATATTCTTAAATAAATAAAATTTAAATAGAAGAACATACCTTTATGAACTTTTTGCTAAATAGATGAGAGTGATAATATCATCAAAAACGTCTCATTTTTTATGCGACGGACTAAAATAAAAAAATTAAATACTCTTTTTGTATAAATTTGTTTGATCATTTTTCTTTATAATCCATTTCAAAATGATGTCTTTTTTAACAATTTTTTAATTCTAATTTTTCACGTGACATGTTTAATATAACAAGATTATAGAATATTTCACTACATCTTATATATCTTTTAATTAATAGCATAAAAATTTAAAATTCTTTTTTACTTTCTAAAACGTATTTTAGATTTAAAAAAATTAATTAAAATGAGCGGAGTACTACCTACTAATTTGTAGATCTGACCGTCATCATCAGATTCTTTGTACTTTTAACCACTAGGTAAATCAAATTTTCTTTGCTTAAAAGCTAAATATTAAAATCAAAATACTTTTAAAATAACTTACTAATAGCCCGTTTGGATTGACTTAAAAGTTGATCAAATCTACTTTTAAGTCAGTTTTTTACTTCTGAAAGTGTTTTGTAAATATAAAAAATAACTTAAAATAAGCAAAAAATGACTTAAAATAAGTTACGAATTGTTTGACAAGGTAAAAAATAACTTAAAATAAGACAAAAATGACTTAAAATAAGTCAGAAACCAAAAGTAGGCTCCCCCTACTTTTATTTTTTGACTTAAAAGTCATTTCAGTTTAATTTTTTTACTTTTAACTTAAAAGCTAGTACTTTTTAAGTCAATTCAAATGGGTCCTAAATCACTTAATTTATAATTAAGTAGGTAACCAATCACAAGCTACTTTAATCTCCTGTATAGTTAATGTAAATAAATTATGATTACCGACGTGCCTGTCTTGGATTTGATCATCCCTTTTTAGACTGGTCAGATTCATACAATGTGCCGACGTCAATGAGAAATGCAAAAAATATTTTTTTTAGAAAAAAATTGGTCGGACAAAAGTGATGAAATAAATAAGGATTACTCTATACAATATAATATAGTCAATATGTGAGGATATTTATTTCACATCAGAATCAAATTCATTTCCCTGGTATCAAAGTAAAATTCATTTCAATTAATTATTTATGGATGACGTTGTCCTAAATTAAATTATTCATGTATCATATATATTTAATATTGAGCGTGAGGTGAGGGTGTTGAAGAATCACACATCATATAAAAAAGAGATGTGTAATCTTCTTATATTGATTTTAGGCAATCCTTTATTTTGTAAACTAACTTTTGAATTGAGTTAGATTCACTATTCATTTCTTTATATTGTATAAGAGTCAAGTTTATTGGGTTCGGTATGGCGCCACCGTATTGTACGTGGGAGAGGGGAATATATTTCTTATCCTTGAATATCACTCCGACCAAATAGTGAAAATTCAAATAAAGAACTTTCAAATTCGAGCATGAAGGGGAAGGAGTTGATAGAAAGAATCTCACATCAAATTAGGACGAGATTCCTAATTTTATTTCACTATGAAAATTGAAAAATTGTCCTCTTGATAGTATTTTTTTTTAGGTGGGAGTCAAGCCTAAAACTTAATTTAATAGAAAAAATATATCAGAATCTATATAGAGTACTATTTTATACATTCTCATGAGATAATAGAACTAACTGTCACGGACTTAGAGTGTTGGCTAAAGTTTCGTGCAGTCCTTGACAATTTACTTACTACTCTTTCAAGATCTTGTAAATTCAAGGAAGCCTTTAAAACTTGAATCGCTAAGAGAATGATTAAGGAAAGACTTAGAAAGAACAAAGAGAGTTTTGGAAGAACACTTTTGTATTGCTTTTGGAAGATTGTTTTACATTTCCTAAGGACTAAAGTGCAATTAATATTTACAAGAGTAGTCCCTAAGGTATATACACATTGGCCCCCTTTCTAGAGAATTCTACATAGTCTAGAATTCTCCAAGGCTTTCTTGAAATATCTAAGGCATTCTAGAGTTCTCTCCTTGACTCTAGAAACCTCTACGCCTACTTGGCTGCAAAATTTGGCTCGAATAATGGCGGGACATGACATAACGCTTATCTTAAATTGGAATGGGATTGAGGACTTCCTCAACAAAAAGTCAAGGGACAAAAAAAATTTCTCATTGGCCAAGTAGAAAATTACAAAAAAGATAATAATATTACTCCTAATCATGTAAAATTATCATGTTCTGTTTAATCTTTAAATTTATTCTCTCTTTTTTTCTTTAATAGCAATGTCTAAATTTGCTTTGGAAGACCTTTTTCCCCACTTAGAGCTTCATATAATCGTGAATATTATGACTAAACCTTTCCCTTAGAGCTATTATTTGAATATTTATAGTTACAAAGACTACATTTAACTAGTCAATATATTGTTCATAGAATAATCCATCCTTTAAGTAATTTTTTCATACTATAACATAGTGTTAGTGAAAAATTACAAAAAAACAAAAAAATACAAGATTAAAATTGAAAATAAAATGAAGAAATAAATTTTTTCAGGCTAAGGCGCAGATATTTCGCTCTCTTTAAGGAGATTCAAGCTCACTGCAGTAAATGTTTTCACCGGTCCAACAGTAGTCCTTCTTGACTTGTTCCCTCCAGGATACAACAACCTAATCACAATATATAACTCAACAACTCTGGACAAGAGTTGAGTCCAATCCACAAAAAAGAACACCTCCCTTCAACTAATAAGAATTCTTTTTTTGACAAACTTTATACACTCTATTTTTTTCTTATGTGTTGTGTATAACATACCAAATGAAGACCATCACTATTTATACTAAAAGAAGTCTTCCTAGAAATAAATAGGAAGATAATGGTATAGTAAATAGTGAAAATAATGGTCTTAGGAGGTACATATGTTACAAGAATAATGGAGGAATTAAGAATGGAATAATGAGAGGGGTAACCAATGCCTCTAACGTGCATTGGCACAACGGCCAACTTTCCAACGTTCAAAGAAACGTTCATCACAAAGGCTAATGCAATAATGCCTTCGGTTATTAATTATCCACTAAGGCACAAATGTTTATCCATTGCAAGCAATGATCCAGTAGATGCTCCAACAAATAGACAAACAAAAATTGTTAATGCGGCCATTCCAAGGTAGAATATAATATAATATTAAAATGTTGACCAACATATAGACTTAACTTTTTGTCCGGTAAGTAATTAAGTAGACGTTTGGTCATGCGATATCATAACACGATATGAAATCTTGAGATGAAATCAACGTTTGGGCAAGCGATTTCAAGCTGATTCCATCTCATGACTCCATGTCATGAGATGAAATATCATATTCTCATCATGATATGGAAATTCCATATCATGATTTGAGATTTTTAAATACAAAAATTGATCCACAAGTTTATATTTTGTTGAAACATCCCCACATTATATCTACTAAATATTTATTTCATATGTAAATAAAAATTAATAATCACATCATTACTTTTATTATTCTTTTCAACATAGAATTTATTATTGCTTTCAATTTGGTGAATATAAATGATAAAGTAAGAAGTGATTTGGTGAATATAAATACAAACGGATGGAGTAATACTTTTTTGGTTTTTCATAATATAAAAACTTCTCTTTCGGCTACATATTAAAATGTTTAAAGCAATTTAATATGAAAAAAGACAAAATTGGCGATGTATGTTTAATAATCACTACTTCCAATATGTTTGATTTTAACATAAAATTAATGTACTTAAAATGTGCAATTACACACAAGTGAAATAAGACATGAACCATATGATATTGACACACAAGTGAAAATTGTCATAACTTGTACAATGTTACATAATTATTTACGATAATACCAAAAGGGTTTTGAAATATGTAAGGTCTATGAGCATGAAAATATAGTTGCGAATGATATTGACCAACAAATGGCTCAAAGTAACAATGTTGGTTCGTCTTCTTTGTCATATGATAGAGAAATGCAAGTTCAACGTGAGAAGATTGTCCGTACTATGTGGGAGGATTATATTAAAGACTAGTACACTACAATTTATGTTCAATTTTTTTTATTGAATTAAAGTTTGATCAATTAAAGTTAGATGAAACAATTAATTAAGTGGAGGCAGATAGCTTTGTAATAATTTATTATGCGATTTTATAATTTTTTGTTTATTTAATATTAAATAAACAATTGGGGTTATTTTAATAGTTTTACAACTTATGAGATTCTTACATTTATAAGAAAATATACAACACAAAAATTTCATATCGCATGTCCAAACAAAACTTCAACTTCATCTCATGATTCCATATCGCATGGGCAATCTGGCTCCTAATAAGCTTTCTCACATTATGAAAAACATATGCTTTATTCTTGCTCACCAATAAACACCATTGTTGAGTTCTGATAATAAAATATTCTCCATTATATTTGATCATTGATACCTTGTTTAATTTACTTTGCTTGTTTTCTTTCATACTCTATCGATTCACCCTAAACGGAAATAATCTTGATCGGACCTAATTCACTTGCCTTTAACCCTTCTTGACAAGTTTAATGCATTTTCCATGGTTTCAAGTTTCATCATGAAAAAATTAATGATCTTAGTGGTAGAAGAATATATTCAATGAAGAATATACTCGTCTACAACGGTCAAAACTCAGAAGTCTTGACTAGTTGATAATGCAAAAAAAAGATAAAACTTGTCATTTTTGTGGAATCACTTTTTTTAGAAAAAATAAAAAGTGAATGGAATACAAATAAAAGGTAAATTATTAAAGTAAAATGGTGATTCCAGATGTATGGAGAAAATTAAGCATATGCTGTCCTAGT